TGTGTCAACACGGCCAAAGCTGCCCCCTCCCTAGCCGCAGGCAGCTGAATGAAGCAGTTCTTTGCTGCACCGAAAGAAATATTTCCATGGAGTTGGGCCAAGAAAACCCCTTGCCTGGATCCGGGCCTGGCCCAAGCCCAAAGCCAGGGGGGACGCAGGGGGAGAGAGCGGGCGACGTGGCCTCCTTTTCCTCGTGTAGGGATGTGACTTCTAAAACCCAGTGCGTGAGGGCGGCAGCCTCACCAAGCCAGTGCCCCCGGTGCCAGGCCCGGCCTGCAGTCTGGTGAGCAGGTTTCCTGGGGGCTTTTCCTGGGGCCAAAGCCATGTCACTCTGCGGCGGGTTCAGGGAGCCCTCGCAGAAGCGGGCCCCACTGCTGCCTGGCTGCCCTGCGGGGCTGCTGCCCACGGGTGGGCACCTCTGCTCAGGGATTCTTACGACATGGATGGCAGACACTGTGTCTCTTGGTTTTTGCTTCTTCATTTACTAGAAAGACAGTTTCTATTTGAGGCTCCCATGAAAGAAATCAAAACGGTCACCCTTTCTGCTGCGTTTGTTTAAAAAAGGTGTATTTTACAGAAGTAATACTTGCAGTGTAGAGATGCAGGAAAGCAGAAAAAAGAAAAATCACCCAGAACAGTTAACGGGACTGTGTGAGGCACATGGGCCTCCAGTTCGTTTTCACTGGTCTTCATGAAGAAAACTGTTCCAGAAGAGCAGAACTAGTCTGTCCCCCCATACGTGGGACCTCAGTGTCAAGATGGAAAGGGGCCCGCTGTTGACATTTGCTCTTGGGTAATTGCTGGCCAGTGGTGACGGCCCTGGCTGGCTGAATTCAAATACACACGTGTGCTTCCTGGAAGCCCAACAGTCCGCTGGGAAGTAAACTTTATCCACGGCCTTCTGCAAAAGGCACTGAGCTTTATTTTTCTTTTAATATCTGTACTTGGGCGAACTCCTCTGTGAAGGGCTGAGGCTGCACGCAGAAGCCAGGGTTGTTTTTTTTTTTTTTTTTTTTTTTTGTCTTTTTGAGGCAGGGTCTCGCTATGCAGTTCAGGCTGGACTTGGGCTCACTTTGTAGCCCAGGCTGGTCATGAATTGGCAACGATCCTCCTGCTTCAGCCTCGCAAGTGCTGGGATTCTGGGTGTGTGCCACTATGTCCAGCTCCAGAAGGCAGATTTTAAGGGGAGAAGGATGCTTCTGATACCAAGAGGAGGGCTGGGATTGGTGTATTGTCAAGAAGTCCATGCAGCCTGTACCCCAGAAGATAAGGCAGCTGTTTGGCAGCAGTTCCTCCACCTCCTTCACTACTGGGTGCTTCATCTCTGGCCCCTCAAACAAACAAACAAACAAACAGCCTTTCGGAGCTCTCAGCTTTTCTGATTTTTGGTCTATGGTGGGATGTCAGGGACCTGTGGTCTTGTGGGGACTTAAGTTGCCAGAGGCTGGGGTGGGAACGAGGTTAGGAACAAACTGACGTGGCCTGAGCTAAAGCAGCAGCGGCCAGCACGCCGCAGCTGCCTGGCCTGGCCGTGCAGAAGCCCACTCCGGAAAGTCTGGGATCAGTAACGTTTAGGGGACTTGGAATTCCCAGCAAGCTGCTTAGAGAGGCCCACCTTCCCCTGGGGTCTGCCGTTCCGCAATAGCAGTCAGGATTTTGAGAAGAAAGAACATTTACCCATGCCTGGGAGATTAAAAAAAAGAGGACCTTGTGTTCACTTCCTGGCTGGATCTTAGGTTGTCTGTGCTCTCACCCGCAAATATGTGTGTGTGGAGTGGGGACTGTCCCCCCGGCTTTTGAGGATTCCCAGGAATGAGTCAAAAGAAAAAAAAGAAGAAGGAGAAGGAGAAGGAGAAGAAGAAGGGGGAAACGTGTGCTTTGAGTTAGATCTACATGAAAGCTGGAGGAGGAGGAGGAGTGGCAGCGGCTAAGCCGGCGTCTGGGAACTGGCCGCCCTCCAGGCCAGCAGAGCTGGGTCCCAGCACGCACACAGAGAAAGTGCTCTGCGGCTCAACCCTGGATTTCCGCGTCTGCTTTCCCCTGTAGATACGAATCTCAGCCCTCCCATGTCCTGTTCCAACAGCCTTGCCCAGAGCGAGGGGCCGTCAGCTCCCAACGTGGCCACAGGGCCGGCTTCCGGGAGAACTTTCTTCCATTGCTTTCGAACCAATAAATATTTCAAAAGTTAGGTTGGGAGCTCCAGAAAAGCCAAGGAAAACATTTCAATGTATGGAACTAGGTTAGGACCAAACTAGGGATTTTTTTTAAAAAAATTGTGGTTCAACCAGACTCCGTGGAGATTGGTTTACGGCAGTTTTTTCTTTCTCCTTTTGCCTTTTCTTCCCCCCTATCTTTCTCTCTCTTTCTTTTAGGGAGCCAGAAGTATAAACATGTTGCCATGGAGTTCTGTTTAAAATAAAATACAATGGAAAGAAAAGCAGCATGATGAAATATCCACATGGACTACAGGATACACCTGATACTAATTACTGTCATGCAGAATGTTCTGGAAGACATTTGACTCGCCTGATGTATACATTCAAATCAAGCAGAGCAGGACTGGAAGGCTCCTTGGGGACCCTCTGGTCCAACTCTTTCCTTTTTCCAGATGAGGAAATAGGGGTCCAGAGAGGGGAAGAGCTGGACCTCAGCCTGCCAGCGAGGAGGGAGCAGAGCCGAGATCCAGCCTGCAGTGCTGGCCTCGGAGCTGCGTGGTTTGCAGCAGGGTCTTTCACCTTGGGCTGTCAGGCAGGCCGGAGGCCCAGGGGTGGGATTTGTGTCAGCGTCTACACAGCAAGCAGCCTTAGACAACCAGGGCCCCTCGGTCAGCAGAGAACCCCACTTTGTACTGGGAGGCCCAGCTTTCCCTTGGGTGTCCGGCCTTGAGGGGAGACACTGGACATTGGGTTGCAGAAAGTTTCTTCTTCCTGCCCCCACTAGCAACACCCCAACCAAGGCCTGGGGCTCCCAGTAGAGAATCAAGACATGCCATTTTCAGGTTTTGGGGCTGACACACCAGGCTTGAGCTCTAAGACCGCTTCCAGGGCCCCAAGTGCATGTCTACTGATGCTCTCTGGTGGCCGCCTCTGTTCCCACCCAAGAAGCCCCGAACAGGAGCCCCCGTGACAAAGCGCACCCTCGCCTCTGCCCCCAGAGGCTAGCAACTGGGCCTGCTGGTGTCTGATTGGCCGCTGGGGCTTGACGACAGGGGCTCCTTGACGCTGATTGGCCTTAGCCAGCTCTGGCTGTTTCTTAGCTATTAATACCGTGGCTAATAAATGTTCTCCTGTTGACTAGGGTTCTCGGAGCCATGATTTTTTGAAGGTTTCTTAGTATCTGTGGCTGATTCCAGCCTTTCTGCCTCCACCAGTGCTGCTTTGGGGACTCTCACCCCAGGGTCTCCTTGCAGGCTGTAGACTGAGTCTCCTCCCTATCTGATGGGCTCAAGGAGCCCCCCCGCGGCGTCCCCCCAATGTCTCAAATCTTCGTGTCCCCACAGCACTGCCAGATCTCGCTGAGAGGCGCCCCCCGCCCCACTCCCCAAGTCTCTGGAGATTTGACAGTCACTTTCCACTTCTCTGGCCAGCTTAGAAGTTGTCTCTCCCCCTTCCTTTTGGCTCTGGGATCTCTTATCTGTATGACGCCACCTCTTAGCATCGCAAGGCATGGGGGTCTGGCTCCGAAGCTGTCCGGAAACCCCCAGAGAAGAGTGGGGGGAGTTTTCTAACTTGATACCTTGGCTGTACATGTGTGTGTGCGTGGGGGGGGGGCTCCTTGGCTTTCTCCTTTGGGGTCCACAGCACATTCTTACCCCTTTTCTATAATCAGACGCTCCTTCCTTCCGACCGGCTGCCACCCACCTGTCACCCCAAGATAGATCCTCAGTCCCTTTCAGCAGCATTCTGACCTCTGAGAGGACATCTGATTGACGGCATTGCCACTGTGCCACTCCGGGCCTGGCAGCGCTGCCCGGGGGCCACCTGTTAAGGATTAACTCTCATGTGCCAAGTCCCCGAGCGCGAGGCTGTGCAGAGCGCCGCAGCAACACGTGTCACTGCCTGTTTCCCTGCGCGCGCGGCGCGGCTGCGGCGGCAGTGGCGGCGGCGGCGGTGGCAGTGGTGGGGCGGGGGCCCGAGGGGGACCCCCTGCTGGGGTGGGGGGTGCTCTTTCAAAGCGGACGTGTGTGGAAATTACCCCAATTCGGGAGGGCTTCTCCAGCCATGTCCACGTAGGACCCTCTCCTCACCGGGCAAAGTAGTTTTCTTAAGTGGCCACGGCTCACATCTATGTCCTGCTTCACTGAAGTCCTGCTTTGAGGGTGCCCCCTTAGGAAGTGGAAGAAACACCCGTGTACCCACCCCACCCCCGGAAAGAGCGGGAGATGTTCACACGGTCCCGGGTCTACAGGTTGTAACCGGCCGAGCCCGGGACTCCCAGCCAGGTTTGTCCACTTCCAGGATACTGGACTGGCTCATGTCTACGCGTCAGAAATAGAGTGGGCAGCAAGGGGGCGACAGCCTGGGCGACATCCGGCAGCCAGTTATCTCGCCTGGGGGCTTTTTATTTTCCAGAACAATGAGCAGAAATCATCCTCCTCTTTCCCTAAGTCTGCATCCTCTGGTCTGTTCTTGGGAACAGTAAGGTGTACGATCCACACGGCCGCCACCCCCCCGCCCAGCTCCGGGCACCCCACCTTCACTCTCAGCCTCTCTAAGGACGACCCTCGCTTGGGGGCGATTTCCCCACCAGTCATGCACACACACTGCCCTTCCTCCTGCGGTCAGGGCTCACGGAGGGGAAAAAACACTCGGACCACAGGGTGTTGGTCATGGCGGCCAGGGGCACTGCGGCAGATTTTTTTCCTCCGTTCTTTGCTGCAATCTGGGTGCGGCTACAGCAATTTGTCATAGAATCTGGGGGGCTCATTTTTCCGGCCAATCACTTTTAGAGAAATGAGCGCATTGCAGCAGAATGCGCTGACGTCAGAGACCACCCCCTCTGCGCCTCCATATAAACCCCACCCAGCCAACCCCTAGCGCAGACGGCGGCGAGCTGGGATGGAGCGCGCCTTGGCTCACTAGCCTGGCGCAGCTCCTCCGAAGAGCTGGGGCACCCACGCAAGCCTTCCTCACTTGGTGAGTGGTTGGCCATCCTTGCCTCGAAGGATGTGCGAAAAGAAGATGACACCCCACACTGGGCTGGGTTCCGTCCTCCTGGACACGATGCAGACGATCCCGGGGATGTCTCCCGAAGGTGGCCTCTGTCTGCCTTGGTCCCCGAGCATCAGTACATGAGATTCTGTTAGGAGAGGAAGCGCCAGGCACATTTTCCTGCTGGGGGGAAACATCAGGGACGTTTTCTCACTCAGTCCTACAGGACTCAGTGCTCGTGGCAGAGACGCTGGCGAAGAGGGGTTGGGAGGAGTCGAGCCAAACCTGCCCGTGATCACTGGGGTCCAAAAATTCCGTTCTCTGGGTTCAAAGATGCCTTTAGGATCACATTCATAGCGGGAGATACGGCGATGATGAAATGAGGGGGCCCGGGGCTCGGGGGGAATCACTCAGGAGAAGGGTCCCAGGGGATAGTTTGGCCCCAGTCTTTCGCCAGGTTCCTGGCGGGCCGTGGGCGCGGGAGGTAGAGGTTCCTGTCCCCTAGGGATTCCTGATCCCAGTACCGAGGTTTAGTGAGACCAGTGGGCTCTGGGCAAAACAGAGGGAGTAAAGTGTGCAGGCTGGACCCTGGGGTCTCGCAGATGCGTGTCGTGCGTGTTGAGATGAGATCTCCAAGCGCAAACCTGTCGCCCCCCACCCCCCAGTTTGCCTGGGATAGGCGGTCCAGAAAGTACCAAGGGGTTGGGGGCGCAGGTGAGACAGAAACAGGAGGTGGGCCGTGTTTTGGGGTCCCAGAAGGAAGTGAAATACAAGAAAAAGTGGGTGTGTTGAGAGGGGCCTGGAAACTGCGAACTCGGGGAATTGGGTGTCTCATCAGTATTGCGCATGATGGTCGCTGGAAGGTTCTGGAATGTTAAGCGCTTTTGGCTTTTGGTAAAATTGCCTTTTGCCGTTTTCTTTGTCCCTGTGAAGGCCCCTTAAACCGCCCCCTCCCCAGCTTGGGCTGCCGAGCTTGGGGTGGGGGCGCAAGAGGGCTGCTACGTGGCAGGTTTCTGGAAGGTTTTCTCGTTGGCCGCAAGAGGGCGCCAGTGGCACTGCGGAATTTTGGGGGGCGGGGTGGGGAGGGGAGGTGGCCTTTGTTCTTTTACTGGAGGGTCGGGCTCGGGGGTTTGCTGGGGGGGGATTCTTGGTTCACCCACTTGAGGGGAAGATGCGCTGTGGTTTTCAGGTTCGCTGGGTGGTGCCTGCTGGAGTCGCTTGAGCAGAGATGCGTCATGCGCACTGGTTGTGCGTGTTGAGGTGTCGTGGGAGTGCGTGGACGCAGTTAGTTTATTTCAGAGGTTTTCCGTCTTGGGGGTCTCCAAAGGTGTGGCACATGTGGACAAGAGGACGAGGCTGGATGTAGAGTGAGGGTATCTCAGTGAGGGTCTTGAGTCTGTGGCGCAGAAGGAGGTGAATTTGAGGGGCGGGGGCGTCGCTGCGCGTGGGCGAAGGGGGGGGCAGGGTGGTCTGCTTTTATTTTATATCATGTGTCGTGAACCAAAATGGTGTCTTGAGAACTGGGTCTCTTACGTGGTAATTAATTCACATTTAATTGGATTTGCCGAAGGTACCTGGTTTTTCTTACGGCCAGTGGGATCGTGCTTTAGGGAGACCCTGGTGGCGGGCGCCCCTCGCTGTCCTGGTCTCTGGTGAGAGGCGACCCCCTCTGGTGAGGGGTAGGGGGCGCAGAAGACCCCAATCCTAAGTCATGGTGCGTTCTGGCTGTTGGCAACTGGCAAGGCCAGTTGGAGACGTGGTGGTCTTTTGCGGTGGGCCAGGGGGCTGTGCGCCAAGGGCGAGACCTGTTGGTCGCCCCTCGCCCACCCACCCACGCACCCTGGCCATCCTGGGCCTGGCAACTGCTCTGTGGCGCGGGCGGGGCGCTGCAGGTGGTTGCGCTGTTGGTCTGACTCGGGAGCGCGCTCTGCGCCCCCTAGCGATGTGTTCGTGCAAGTGGTTCCTGGCCCGCTAAATTGATTTGAGGTGCGCAGGCGCACAGCCAACACTTGTGACCTGTCAATCAAGTCATCTTTACCCCCTCCCATTGCTCTCCCCCTCCCAGTTCTCCTCCCCCTCCTCCCCCTCGTCCCCCTCCTGTTCTCTACCTCCTCCCCTTCCAAGTCTCCTCCCACTCCTTCCCTTCCAGCCCTCTGCCTCCTCCCCTTCCAAGTCTCCGCCCCCTCTTCCCCCTCAGGCTCCTCTTACCTTCTGCCCCCTCCCCTGCCCATGTTCCTCATCCCTCTCTCCCCTCCCCTCCTCCCTCCCTCATACCCCTCCCTCTTTTCCTTTCCTCCAGCTGCCCCCTCCCTCTCTGCGGTTTCTGTGCTGGCCGTTAGAGGTCATCAAGATGGTTCTAATCGGCCCCCTCCCATGCTCTTCAGGGATGTCTCTTCAGGGATGACATCATGGACTCATCCCCCCACCCTCGTTCTCAAGGACCACCTCCCCTGGATGCCAAGCTGCTGCCAGGTGCCAGCTGCCTGCCTCCACCTCCTCCTCAAGACGGTACCTTGGCCCCCCTTATTGCAACTTGCATACAATATGGCGGGTGAACCCCATCCTGCTGTCCTTCCTGTGTTGCCCCCAGACCTATTTGCCTTTAAAGACAATTAACTTTTAATTGGTGAATTTTAATTGTTATTAATTAACTTAAACTTGTAACTAATCTTTTCCCTTGGGCTTTTATGCAGGTCTTCATTTGCATATGTCACTCAGAGCCTGGATTCCTGGACCCGACTGGCCTACCCACCAGCCACCAGCAGACCCTTGAGGTCCAGCCCCTGGAAGGACAGGATGAAGACACCTGGAAGTGACCAGCAGCTGTCCCTTGGAGCTAGAGACGTAACCCAGTGCCCTAGTGAGGGGGCACTGGGCCTTCCCCTCTGTCTTGGCCCTGCCTGTGGCCTGACTCCGCCTCCTGTCCTGTGTGTCTCTGCTTATGTTGCCTGCTGGGCCACTGGTGCTTCCCTCCCCCAGGGTCTTCAGTGTCCCCTGACTGACTGCGTTGCCTCAAGCTGTCCCAAGTGGAGGGGTCCCTCTGGGAATTCCTCAGGAGGGGGACCTGGGCCAAGAGCAACTCCAGGCTCTGGGTGGTCTTGCGGAATGAGCATGTGACTGATTGCCGATGGCATGCCCACCTCTCCCAGGACCTCCCTGTCCTTTCTCGGGGAGCAGGGACGCCGGGGCCACCCCCTAGGTCGTTGTGAGAATTAAATGACTTAAAGCAGCTCAGGTCTAGGCGGGTGTAGGGCAAGCGGTCAGCAAATGTTTGTTGAGGAGCCTGCCGGGTTCTTCCCGTCCCACCGTGCTCCAGGCTCTGTCTTACTTGTTGTTCTTATTCTCCCGCAGACTCCTGACAGCCCCTGTCATGGGGTCTCCTTGCATCGGGCAGGGGCGCCACAGAGACACCGGCCAGAGGGCAGACTTGAGTAAGATCGTGAATTACACACACTCTCATTTCCAGAGCACTTTCTATGTAACACAAATGCACAGTTCCTCCAGGGTCTCCACATGTCACTGGGCGGCCTTGCTCTCAGGCCAGGCTCAATTTGGTCTCGCTTTGCTTAATTTGAAAAAGGTAGGTGGGAAAGAGGACCTGAGCCGAGAGCCCCCTCCCACAGGGTAGGTCCACACATACAGGAGGAAGGGGAGGCATGTGAGTGTTTTGTCCACTGCCAGTGAGCGAAGTGGTCAGAGCTGGGCTTCGGGTGCTGCCAGTGACCCTCCTGGCGCCCCTGACCCAGAGTTCTTTTATTCCCAATCAAACATTTGACGGCGGGGGAAGCCTGTCTGAAATCCCAGGGGTCCAGGGTGGTTTGGGGGGACTAGGTGACCCCAAGGCCTGTTCCATGCGCTGGCATCACCTCTTAATAATGGTGTGACCGTAAACAAGTCGCCTGGCTTCTCTAGCTTTCAGTTTCCCTCGTGGCCTCAATGGGGATTTAAGAACCAAAAAAGAAAAAAAGACCAAAAACAACAAAAAAACCAAACCCCCAAACCCTAGCCCTGCTTTTCTCTACCTCAAGGCTGCTTGGGGGAGCCACATGCTGTAGCTACCGTGAAAGTGCTTTGTAAATTGCTGTGGAAATTGTGGGACACTTAACCCCAGGCTGTCTGTCTCTTGGTGTCCCCTGGCCAGCCGGCACCCAGTAAATTCTCTGGGTGTTTGCGCTCCACAAATACATTTCAGAATCAATCAAAGTGGAATTAATTCAGCAAACATTTTCTGAACTGCTGACAATATGCCTACTGTGCCAGGCTAGGTGGAGGACAGGAAGATTAATGCAAACGGTCTCTCGTAGCTAATTGGGTCCTCATTTGGCTAGTACTTTCTTTGGTCTCTCTTTTTTTTTTTAAGCCAACCAGTTTTGTCCGGACAAGACAAAAACAACTCTGGGTTGCTTTAGAGAAGCCCAGCTTGTGTGGACAATAGCGGCCCAGCGTCTGAAAGGGCCTGATTGGATTATGTGGCAAATGGAGGTGGAAGGGTGACTTGGGAGGTAACAAATGTAGTGGGTGGGGACCCGCTTTGAGTTAATTCAGGCCATTAGGAGGGAACCTTTTGTCTTCCAGAGACTGGCAGGAGCTTTCACTGCTGGTTTTTAACATCCTGAATGTTCAGGACATGTAATTCACGGCCGGTGACCATCCAAGGCCCGGTGAGAGGCCGGTGGGTGGTGAGACAGAGGGGTGCTCCTGTGAATGACGAGAGTGGGGCTCTGGCCCCTTTTGCGATCGTGCACTCATTTGATCCTCACAACTCCCTGTCCTGACCCAGGGCCGGCCTGCCACCACCCAGGGACACAGAGGCTGTCAAGTGGCTCCCCAGGTCCCCATTGCCTATGATTCAACAGTAGATGTGAACCCGTCTCCGGCCTGCACCTCCATCCTTGCCTCCTCCTTGTCCCAACTCTGTTCTCCCCGCAGCCTGGTGTTCCAGGTCCCTCCTGTCCCCTTCTGGCCACTCCAGTCTCTCTCTTTCCTTCGCAGCCCGGCTTCTCGAGGGGCCCTGTCTCCACTGCTTTCCTTCCTCACTCCATCTCCTCTTCAACCCATGCCTCCTGACCCGCTCTGCTCCGCCCGGCGGCGCTCGCTCAGGTAAAGTCTCTGTAACTTAACTCTCAACACGTTGCCAGCACACCACACGTGCCTGTGCCTCCTCACACGGCTTTGCGGCTCCGATTCACTTCCTCGGACACACCGCACAGAGACACCTGCTCCGCGCCGGCAGTCGGCTGGCCCCGGAACTCGCACACCCAGACCTCCCAGCTCCGGATCTGCCTCCCTTGAGGCACTGCCTTAAGCCCTCGGGAGCTGGTTGGCCTGGGTTCGAGGCTGGGAGCACGCCCGGGACAGATCCGCTCTGCGGGTGCCCTGTCAGTCGCAGTAGTTACAGGCCAGGTGCAGCAGGCCTCCTGCAGGTAAGGCTGGACACAGCTAGGGAAGGGGCTTGAGAAAGTCGGGGGAGGATTACTCACGCCAACATGCAGTTTTCTTACTGGTTCCCACGGGAGGCCCAGAGACAGGACTAAGTCAGAGAGGGAGGAGGGGTAGGGGAGAAGACAGAAAAGAGTGCTTTAAGAAAGGCATTAAGGCCCTAAGCAGGAAAGGAAGACTTAGGAAATACTAAAACCCACCCAAAACTCATCTGCAGAAAGGCTTCCTCTTAGGTCGTGTTGGGGTGAAGAAAGGAAACAGGAGAAAGCTGTTAAATTGATTACCCAATGACAAATCCCAGCAGGTTTTCAAATCAAATCTCCCCATTTTGGGGTTTTTAACTCCTTCCATGCAGTGTAACCCCTTTCCCTCCCACCCCAGTGTGAGAGGCACTGCCGGGGCGATGAATGGCCAGCAGAAAAGGCCTCCCCACCCCCAGCCCGGGCTTTCAGCTTTATCCCACTGTCCGCCCTTGTCCCTTAATGAACGCAGGGCTAATCTTGGGCCTTGTCGGAGGAAGAGGCCGCAGACACTAATGAGGTAGCTGCTGGATTCCAATATTCGTCTTGTAAGGAGCCTTCTTTGTCTGCGAAGGGAAAACACACTGATTATCATAATGAGGCGAGCCAGCGTCCGCAGGGCAGGGGCTGTGTGGGTTCTTAAGCCACACTTCTAATTTCGGGGCTGCAGCTGACACGGTCCCCTCGCCCCCTCATTGAGGTCTGCGCCTCTGTCCCACCTCGAGGCCCATTGAGTGGGGTTGAAAGTTGTCACGCAGGGCTGGAGATAGGTTGTATTGTAGGATGCTGCTTTGTTCCGGTCTGAGCAGCACATGCAGCTGGCTGGGGTGTGCATTTGTGTTGTCCAAGAGCTGCCCGTGGGCTCGGGTCCCGTGGGGGACCCGTTTCCAAAGCTAGCGTGCACCCGGCCAGCTTCAGGACTTAGACTAGCAGATGGCAGCAGAGGGCCAAGCCGGAGGCGCCAGTGAGGTCGCCTCCAGCCAGCAACCATGCATGCCCTGTCCAGGCCCAGATAGACGGATGTTAGCACCCCCACAGGAGGCTAGTTTGGGGTTCAGATTTGGCTCCCACATACTGATGTGATTGGGATTTAGGGGGCAATGGATTGGCAGGATGGGTCAACAGGAGCTGGGGCAGCAGGCCTGCCAGAAGCTGGGCGTGGTAGGGCACACCTGTAACCCAGGGCCGAGGTGGGGAGACCAGCCCGAACCACAGAGCGAGACCTTGTCTCAAACCAAAATACCAAAAAATCAATTTAAAAATGCCACCAAACCTGAGTGGGGCTGGGGTGCGGCTTAGGGTAGAGTTGTGTGTCCATCCTGGGCATGGCCCTGAGCTCACCCCAGCCCCCAACTCAGATGGGGCCTCATAGCTCTTAGTTCATCTCTGTACCCCATGTCCCCCACCCTGAGGTCCTGCAGCTCAGATTGTACCTCCTCATCCTTCAGCTCATTGAGGTCTCTAGAGTGGGTGTGTCCTGAGGAGGAGACTTATCCCAGATTCTGGATGTTTTCCCCTCTAAGGCAGATCGATCAAGATTAGATCACTCCAATTAAACTTTAGGCTCTCTCCAGAACTGAGCCAAATGGAAACACTGGAGGAGACTGGGGGTGGACGCAGCAAGCGAATGTTATTAGCCCCACCCTGAAGACCTCCACCCCCACCCCAGTCAGTCACTTGGCTAAAGCTTCTATGGGACTCTGGGTCTGAATGGCTTGTTCCTTCCAGTTAGCCATGCCAGACCTGGCCGGTACCCCGAGACAGACCAGGATGAGCCAGATCCCCAGGGGACCTCTGCCTCCTGGTCTAGGAAGATGTTGGAACTTGGGAGAGGGAGAAGGGAAAAGGTCCCTACCTGATGGCCTGCAAGCCAACTCCTTCCCCTCTCGGCCGGTGGAGGGTAGGGCCAACAGTCTGACATTTGAGAGAAGTTATTTTTTTAGTACTAGGGCTGAATCCAGGTCTTTGCTCCTGAGCTTCACCCCCAGGCCCCCCTCCCGCCCTCCCCCTGCTTTTTTTTTTTTAAATTTGAGGCAGGCTCTCCCAACTTATCCAGGCTGGGTTTAAATGTGCAATTCTACTGCTTCAGCCTCCCAGAGTGCTGCAGTGGTAGCTGTGTGTCCCCATAGCTGTGGAGGATTTCTTTTAAGTAGTAAAGAATAATCCACAGGCCCCGCGTGCTTTCCTCTGTAGATCAGCCACGCAGGGATGTGCCCTAGACCCTCTCCTTAGCTTAGTTCCTGAGAGCCCCCAAGGGTACTCTGTGTGGGCACAGGTACAGCTCCACTCTGTGGGTCCCAAGCAGCTTCCGAGTTGGCCCCAGACCCCCCATCCAGTCAGATGGGGGACCCAGGTGACAGACCAGGCTATAGCTCCAGTCAGATGGGAGGCGGAGCCAGTGGGGCACAGGAAGGGAAGTCTCTCATTTTTCTCAGAGTTGCTATTTTTTTGCCTTTACTGTTCCTCTTGCTGTGTCCTCAGTCTCCTATCTCTCCCCCTCCCTCCCATTCTCATGTGGGCATTTTAGGGTGTCCTAGGCCAACCTCCCCTCCTCTAGGTGTCCCAGCACCAGCCTGGCAAATAGTGGGGCTCAGGAAGAGTATGTGGGATGTATGCCTGGGCAGGTGGGTGAATGACGGGCCGGACTGTACCACAGAGCAGCAGGTGGGCCACACGGGTGTCTAGGACCAGGGGCGGGTGCCCCTACGTGGATAGCTGTCTAGCTTGGCCCTGTTTGGAGGGGCCTGGGAGTCTTGCCCTGCATTCACCCGCGCGTCCATCCCGTCATCCAACAGTTGATCCTAACTGAGCGTGCCCATGGCGCCGGCCCCGGACTCGGCACCTGTCACCTAGTATGTCCCTTGATGGCCTCTGCTACCCAGGGAGGGCAGCCGGGGGGTCGTCCTAGGTGCTGGAGCCACGGGCTCTGGCTTTGTAGTGGACAGCAAGAGAGTGCGAAGTGGCCTTGACCCCTTGGGTCTTCTGCGCGTACCGCACACCTGCCTGTCCCCCGTCCTGCATCTCCCCTCCTCACCCCACAGCTGCATGCGGATAGCTGTCCTGGGCCCCTGCACCTTGCATGAGGGTTACTGTGATGTGTCCTGGTTATTGGCCATGCAGGTCTTTCTCTTGAGGTGGGGGGTGTGGTTTGGACCCTTCCTTCGCCATCTTTCCCTGGGGGCCCAGTCCAGCTCCCTGGTCCACTTCCCGCTGGCTGGGGCCTTTGTCCCACACAAGGACAGATGGCAGGGAACCGCCAGGCTGCGCCCGCAGGCTCGGCCTCTGGCTGGCTGCCCAGCTGCTCTTTCTACCTGCCTGGCCCTCTGCCCCCTCCTACCTTTTGTCCCCCCGCCCCCCTCTGCCTGGTGACTGGACCTGCCCTCCCAGCCCTCTGCCCTTGCCAAATCTGCACCTGAAGCCATCAGACCTCTTGCTTTTTGCTGCCTTTCGCCCTTGTCTAGGCCCAGGTGCCTCTGCCCAGTTCTCAGTGTTGCCTTGGTTTCTAACAGGTTCTCCTGCTGGGGGCCCCATCTCCCAGGGGCACCACACTCCGCAGATGCCTCCTCCCAGGGACCCGCCTCCAGGGTCCCACTGACCAGGGACTGCAGTGACCCTCGGTCCTCACGCCATGCCCATCCCGCCACCATGTCCCCGAGGTTTTGGGCTCAGTGCTGCCAGGCATCCTGCTGACTACTTGGTGTTGGTTTTGGGGGGTGCCCCTTTATCCTGCCTTGACTCGACCCCCATGGAGACCCCACGCTGCCTCAAAGCAAACCTCAGGTGAGACACACTCCATGCCCACGTTTGCAGGCATGAGTGTGTGCGCAGATGTTTCCTGTTCTTACATGGCAATAATTCTGACTCCTTGCCCCTCCCCAAAGCTGGCCTTGTCCACTGGGGCTGTGACCTTGGCTGGTCAGGCTGAAGGACTTCGGACAAGAAGGAGCAGCGGACCCCCAGGAACTCACCGCCAGGACTTCAGTCTCCATGAGCCCCCGCCTCCTTCCGGATCAGGGTGAGTTTCTTGCGTCGTTTTCACAGACACACACACACACACACACACACACACACACACACACACACACACAGTGTCACAGTTTCATTAGGGCCATGCAGGAATAGAAACATTCAACTGGGGTGCAGAAGGTGGGGCCTCTGCCAGCCTCGCACATGGACCTCAGCGCTGGGCCTGAAGACTGCGGTGGAGACCCTGGGCACCCGAGCCAGCACGGTGGAGCACACGCCAGCTACGGTAAGTGGGGAGCACTCAGGTTTGGGGACAGCCAGGGCCAGGGCCAGGTACACAAAAGACACTGCGGCCGCTCATGCTCTCAGGAGGGACCAGCTCCGCGCAAAGCCGTGAAGAGGGGCCGTGTGTCCCGCCGGGGGACGTTTCTCCCCCCACCGTGGTGACCCCATCCCTGGGGGTCTCAGCACCCACACTCGGCTTCGACGCTGTCTTCACACCAAGGGGCACATGCTTCTTTGGCCCCTAGCCTCACCCTGAATGTTCATGGTGGGGGGAATGTTTTTATTTGTTTAAATAAAATCAGTGGTGGTAGAGGAGGCGGAAGAAGGGGAGATTTGAGCTCTGATATTCCTTCCCAGTCTTCTGGACATATTCACGAAACATCCAAGGCTCTGAGTTGAGGAAAGTGGGGGGCCCTGGGCTAGGAGAGAAGGGCTGGAGGCTCTTCTGGATGACCCTGTCTGTCTGTGAGGCCCCGCTGTGTCAGGACCTGTGCTGTGCGGTGAATGGCCATGTTAGGGAGGGGCTGAGTCTCCAGGGTGGGCGGGGAGGATAGGGGAGGATAGGCTGTCCTTTGGGGGCTTCTTGGGGTGGCCCCAGCCCTGTTCTTGGCCCAGATGCCAGCCCCTCACACCTGCTCTCGATGCCCACTCATGGGGTCTCTGTGAGCTGAGCTTGTGCCAGGCCCCAGCCTTGAGTACCCCCAGACATGTGAGCCCACACTCGACCCTTGGCGCCCCTGGACTGTGCTCCAAATGCAGCTTCCAGGAGGTGGCTCCTCAGCAGCCCTCCCTGGTCCCCTGGTGTGACTGCAGGACAGGGATAGTAATTTTAAACAAATCCTGGTGGGCTGTGTGGTCCGCCAGGCAAAGGACCTGGCCAGGCTGAGGCCTTGTCTGCTTGTCTTTGCTCTCTGGAGGGCCTGGCAGGCTATGGGCAGGGGGGAGGAATGTGTGCCCAGGGTACCAGGAAAGCTCTGCCCTGTGACATTTACTCCAAGCTGGCATTTGCTGAGCCACCTGCAAACACAGCGCTGTGGAGAGTTAGCCTGGAAGGGGAGCTTTGCACCCCAGGATGCTGGCTCCAGGGCCATGGCAGCCTGGGCTCAGACAAAGCGGTAGCTCGCAGCCGAGTACCTGAGGCTCCTGGGCTCCTCCTCAGGGACCCTCAGGACGCTTGCAAGGGGGCTGAATTAAGGGCCCAGGGTGCCAAGGTGCTGAGGGACCCATAGGTGTGGCCCGCCAAGCCCCTGCCCACTCACCTCAGGGCTGCCCTACCCCATCAGGAGTTTGGGCCAGGGCCAGTGCCAGGGCCAGAGCCGTCTTTGCACTGAGTCGCAACTTAGGCTTTTGTCATTTGCTGGTTTTTGTGGTGCTGGGAGTCAAACCCAGGCTTGCAAAGGCAGGAACTCTACTCCTGAGCCACCTCCCCAGAGCATTTCAGGTGTGGTCAGCCTCAGGCCCACCCCTTTCTGCAGTTTGTGTCATTAGGTAAAAATACAGATTACAGAAGGCTAAGGGCTGAATCAGAGAAGCTGAGCCAAACCGCATACGACACCGTCCTCACACTCACACAGCATGGGCGGGAACTACTGAAAGACCGCACTGCTAAGCCTGGAAAGACCTGACCGTTTTCAGGGGAATATTTTTGGTTTTGGATGAGTTGGTGAATCCCTGAGCCCTAAGGAGGAAAATGAGACCCCGACTGGATAGAAAGCAAGGTGCAGAGGACCCCGTAACCCAAGAGAGGACCCTGGGGATCTCTGGTCATTTGTCATGGTATCCAACAGTACCTAGTAGCTTCAGGGTGGGCATAGACATAGGGGACAGATGGTGGTCTTGTCTGGAAGTGCCCTGGGTAGGTAGGCAAGGGAATCAAGAGGTAAGTTGAGGGCTGGGATTGCAGCTCAGTGGTAGAGCCCTTGCTTAGCACGCTGAGGTCCTGTGTGCCACCTCCAGCGCTGTAGACACACACATGCGTGCACACACACGTGCACACACATGCGTGCACGCATGCAATAGGGAGAGGAATGAGCAGCCCTCTCTTGGCTCCCATCTGTGAGTTCTACTTGAGTTTTGGGGCTTCTGCTCTTGTGGCTGCTGAGTTGCAACCCAAAATCCAAACGTGTTTCCAAGTTCACTTCTCCATAGTGTTAAAACCTGGCAAGACTCGGGGACCCATGAATTTCTTGTTCATTCATGTCCATGAAGTAACTAAATGTTTCTATGAGCAATCGGATTTCTAGGAAGCATTAAAAAAAAAGGACCCATCTTTTCATGAACTCGCTAAGGAAATTTTCCTTGAAAAGAGGAAGGGGAGCTTTGCACAGAAGGGGTCGTGGAAGGAGACAGCCAGGGTTCCGCAGGGCTAAAGGTCGGGGAGTAATGTAGACAGCTGTAGAAGCTGAGTCTGGAAGCTTGTTCTGTTTTAGGAGTTTAGGATTTAAGGGGGTCGTAAGGCCAAGAGTGAGCCCCACTTTCCCTGGTACTTGGAGCGAGCCGGGTCCTCTCTCCCAAAGCAGCAGGAAGTCTGGCTTGCTCTCCTGGCCCTAGTGTGAGCAGGCAGAAAGTTCCGGAAGGGCTGGATCTTTCCAGAAGAGGCCATCTTAAGTGTGGATTTCCTTTTTTCAAGATGTCCGGGCCTCAGAGAGGCCCCACCGATGCAGGCTGGAGGCCAACGCTTGCACACAGCAGCTCTGTTGCTGTGACACGGGTGGGTTAGAGCAGGAGGAGTGTGTGAGCATACCTGGGCACAATGAGGACAAAAGGGGGTCTGCTCTCTATGGTGGCCCCTGCCAGGCCCCTGCAACAGGAGAGTCCCCTGCCAGGAGCAGGTCCTGGGTTCCTGGCTCCCAACAGGACCGTCTCTGAGGGGGACACTGACCCTAGAATTTCTAGTACCTCTTGCATTTGTCTGGTCCTGGGACCAGGGAGGCACATGCCCCATCCTCGCTTGGGGAAGTTGGTCGCTACAGCCAGGCCTCTTGGAACAGACTGTCATGAGGTCCTCAGCTATGTCTGCCTTCACCCCTAAGTCCTGAGTGACTGCCGGGGGTTTGGTGTGCAGGGCAGGTGCTGGGGGCGGGGGCTAGTACGCCCTCCCAGCCCCCAGCTCAAGGGGCTTGTGTGTGGGAGAGGAATTAATTAGGAGAGGATGGTCCAAGGATGTAGTCGTGACTTTCTTAATTGCTGTACAGTTTCTTTGGCTTCAGAAAAAAAAAAAAAATGCAGATGGAGAGTTCTTAGCTCCCCTCGCCTGGGAGTAGGGGGAGGAAGGCTCCCCACCACCTTTTGCTTGGCGTCTCGTTACACAGTGAATAGGGTCTTTGGCAGGGGCTTAAGGAGGAGACTCTTAGCCCCTAGCTCGCAGGGCCCCTTCAGATGGAAACAAAGGCTGGGGCAGAAAGGAATGTGGGGAGCCCCTGGAGCACAGCCACCTGGGGATAATTGGGAGGCTGCGGGTGAGTTTTCCCAGGTCCCCTGAATGCACTTTGTCAATGGAAGGTGCCCTTTCTTCAGAAAGAAGAAAACCCCAATTACCTTCCGGGAATGGAGTGTGTGTGTGTTCCCGGGCACTGTCTGCCGGGCTCCGGGCGCAGACCCTGCGACCAGCCGGCTCACCCGCCTGACCCTGGGGACGCCACACTCTTCCTTCCAGATTTCTGCAAGTGGCTTGGGAAAGACAAGTAACAGTGATGATGCCCGTGACCAAGAGTTTGATCAAACTGGGCCTGAGGCCTGCCTGAGCATCAGACAGCTGGGGAGACCCAGAGGGCCAAGGGGACAAGACGCTGGGGAAAGAGGACAGCGAGGGAGCTAAGAGCTGACCTGCCTGTCTGCCGGCCATCAGGGAGCTGGGCTGTGTGCCCTTCGGCCTCCTGGCCACGCTGTGGGTGGTGGGATGGCAGGGTCATCCCCATCACTGGGGCTGGGGGCTCTGAAACCCTGGGGCCCCCGTGTGTGGTAAGAGAAGACAGTAGGGGCCTTGGGGCCCGGGCTTACAGGGACCACCTCTGCCCCTGCTGCCTGGTGCCTGGCCGCTCTGCATGGCCCCTGCCACGAGACAGCAAGGAGTTAGACCTCAGTCACACCAGTGTCTTGCTTTGTTGTTGTGGGCACCTGGGCCTTTGTTTCCCCTCCTGTGACTCGATCTAGCAGCCTGTGAATTCAGTGCGTTCTATGAAAAGCAGCCCAGGGTGATGGTGATGGAGAAGAGAGGCTTCTCCTTTTTCCAGGGAAGTGAACAGGTTGCGTCCCTGCTCGCCTCATGGCAGGAACATTTTTTGTGACTTGCCAGGTGGCAGAGGGGAGACCATGGCTGGGTCCAAGCTCTGGGGAGTTAGGTAGCTCATGGTACAGCCTTTGCCTAGCGTGCCCGAGGTCCTGGGTTTGATCCTGGTATTCCAAAAACAAAACAGAACAAAGCAACTTTAAACCTCAGAGCCCAGAGTCTAGCCTTAAGTATGGCTGTGATTTTTTTCCCCCCATTGTGGTACCAGGGATTGAACTCATGACCTTGTGCTTGCCAGGCAGGCTCTTATGCCACTGAGCTAAATCCCCAGCCCAGCTATGGCTGTGGTCTTATTTTCTGTCTCCAGCTCTCTGGCTGTGTTTTCACATCTACGAAGTGTGCAAGTGCAGACCTGTGGTCCTCGGAGGGCCCTGGGAGCCCTTCGGGCCTCAGGACTCCTCCAGGCTTTTCTTGGGGGTCAGCTGAGGTATGTGGATCCGACCACTGTGGGTCTGGAGTTATAGGAATCTTGAAGA